CCCCAAAACCCCAAAACCCCAAAACCCCATGAGGCTGAGTTAAATTCTAATATAGAATTAATTTAATTACGTAATTCATTTATATTTAAATATTAAATTGCCCTTGCTTGATAATGGAAAATAATTAAAACAGCCAAAATGGAATATTCTAGGATACTAACTTTGGATCCTTTGTTGATTTATTCAGCTTAGTTGAACCTATCAGTGATGAAGTGTAATCTAGCTTTTAATATAACTTACCTTAGATGCTTAATCAAGCCAATTTTAAAGAAATAATCTACATACAGTTTTTGCCAGGCTCGTAATCCAAGGATCCTTATATACATTAAGCCCTGGGATGAAGAAGTTTTCACTTCTTTCATTGTTTTATATTAGTATGAGTGTGAATAATTTCAATGCATTTTATAGATTCATTAAGACAAATAAGAAGACCAAAAAAATAATGGTTTATGTAGAATAATGGCTCATTGACAAGTTAAAAGAATATTAAAATGAAAACAAGAATGTTGATCTTAGAATAGAAGATCTCTACATATTTAGCATTAAAAATGATGATGAACTCAAGACAATAAAATACCTTATTACTTTGGGAGGTGATGGAACTATCCTTTATGCAGCTAAACAATTCCATGGAGATTATATTCCCCCTATCATTTCATTTACAATGGTAATAACATTTTCCCCAATTAATTTCATAGGGGTCTTTAAGTTACTTATGTAATTTCGACTTTAATGATCATCAAACTGTGATCACAAATATTTTGTTCAATAGCTTCAAGGGAGACCAAACAAAGGATCCTTGTTTGGATTTAAGAATGAGATTGAAAATAGAAGTCAGTGACAATCCTATGAGGAAAATTTATAAAGGAGGTTAGCTTGAGAATTATGAGGAGATACTGATATAAAACTACCACGTCATTAATGAGATTGTAATTGATAGAGGTCCATCCCCTTACTGTGTTCAAGTTGAGATCTTCATCGATAATAATTATTTCACTACCCTAGTGGGAGATGGGTATTTTACCAAGATTTTTTAAAGCTTTTTCATATAGTTTAATCATTTCTACACCAACCGGGTCAACAGCATACAATCTGGCAGCTGGTGGTTCGATAATGTAGAGTAATGTTCCAGCCATATCATTAACTCCTTTGGCTCCACATTCATTATCATTCAGACCTCTTATTCTTCCAGAAAATATTGAGATTAAGTTGAGAAAACCGTAGGATGGCAGAACAAGTGCTTGGGTAAGTCTTGATGGGGCAACTAGGTTTGAGCTTAAGGATGATGAAAGCGTAACTGTAAGAGCCTCGACTCATGCAGTAGCATTTATCACTAATCCTGTTGATAACTTAACAGCATTATGGTCTCAGAGATTGACAAAATTACTGAATTGGAATTGTAGACCTTAGATGAAATCACTCAAAAAGATTTCATCAGATGAGGAGCCTAAATGATTTTAATGAGACAAGTTAAGATTTTATGACCGATCTTAAAATATCAGAAAATTCCTGAGATGGAAATTATCCAATATAAATATGTATTTGTTCAGGAAAACATTTTGCATAAATTCGACCATTTTTACTCAAACAAACTGTGGGGTTTTGGGGTTTTGGGGTTTTGGGG